TATTATTATTATTATTATTTTATTATATTTTCGCCCCCAGGCCTTGATGTTCGGTGTTTTCCGTTTTGTAATTTTATTCTTTTGTATTATTATGTCAGGGTTTTTTATTGCAAATTTCTTCTTCTTCTTCTTCTTCTTCTTCTCAGTATTAATATTATTATTATTATTATTCCTAAAACTTTTATGAACACGACTATAGATTTTTAACGTATTTATTCGTTTATATTTTTTCCCCGGGATGAAAGGCGATCTATTTTTTGCTCTATTGTTTCCATCTGTCTGTCTGTCTGTCTCTCTTTGTGATTTATATGGTGTACGATTCATTTATCTTGATGCTCATTTGTTTTCCGTTTATTCTCTTTTTATACCTTCTGTCATTTATACTTTTTTATTAATTTATTGTTTTCTTGTGATTTTTTTATATATATTTTGTCATTTATATTTTTGATTGAATTTATTTTGTTATTATTTTTGGATTTTTTTTTTTAGTTATTGAAATAGTTAATAAATGATAACATGAGGTCATTATATGAATGATTTTACTTTTTTAATACAATTTGCGTTATAAAAGACTTTGCTGGATGGGATTTTGTCCGTTTTTTTTTATCGTGGTAAAGGGATTTTATTTTTCCAATAGGAGCTTGTCATTTTAGTCCTGTGGGAATGTTTCTTTTTTAATGGTATTTGTCTATTGCGGTTTTTGTCAACTGGGATATATATAATAGACTCTATAACTCCTGGGGCTATAATTGGTGTTCGTGCACAAAAGGTATATAATTACTGGAACTCTCTATCGTTCTGTTACATCTGTTCACATTTAATAAAGCGTCTGAGTTAAGTGGCTATAACACCTATTTAAAAAACACCACAATAATTAAAACACTAATATACATAAAACATTTGTAATTAAACTATCAAATGATACATTAATTAATTAATAGTTGTTTCTCATTAATTACTCTTCCCAGTTGCAGTTATATATGCAATTAATTATAGTAGTGTTAATACGTAATGATTTGTTTATAATGACGATGAATTATAGTGAGTATCAATCATAGTGATGTAATTAACGTTTATATGAGTGATAATAAGAATGATAATTAATGATGATGATGATAGTTATGTCATGATGGGAATAACAAGAATGATAAAATGTTGTGTGAATTAATTTTTTTTTTAACTTTCGATGAATGTTAAGGTTATTACTTTGATAATCATATTAACTGTTTAACGTAGAGGTTTGTGAAGAAAATTGTGAGGAAATGTAATAAGTTTAATTATTTTTTTAATTTTTTTCTCGCCGCTTCATAATATCTCTCTCTCTCTCTCTCTCTCTCTCTCTCTCTCTCTCTCTCTCTCTCTCTCTCTCTCTCTCTCTCTCTCTCTCACATAGGACAGGGTGATCGACACACACAATATAAACTATTCATTTCAGTATGTCAGTATCCACCGAAACTGACCAGCCAGGCTTATCAACCACCATGAGTAAGAATCATTGATGACTGGAGGTGTGTGTGTGGGGGGGGGGGCGGGGTGGTGGGTTCGTTGCTGTCACCGCCTTGTTACCTGCACCACGCAACACAGGTCAGCTCTTGTGAATGGAGACCTTGCATCAATGGCTGACCACTACTGCCACTTTAATATCGTGTTGGTAGAGACGATTTACTGCCTTTGTGGTGTATGGGATTTATAGTCAAAATATACATCCGTGTAATTTGACATATGCATCACTGTTAAGCGCGCTGATCAGATAAACTAGTTGACTTTGAATAAATGGAAATACGTTATGTTGAACAAAACTGTAGTTAATCATACTATTAACTTGCATTATTTCTATGCCAGCGTAAGCTAACCTAACCTAACCTAACCTAACCCTCCTAAACTTATTTTATATATAGTTTATGTTATGGTGGTAAATGATGCAATGAAAACAAAAAGGTTTTCATTAGAAAAAATTGTCGGTTGCATTTTAAGGTTTAATCGATCGATCATCTGTGTGTGTGTGTGTGTGTGTGTGTGTGTGTGTGTGTGTGTGTGTGTGTGTGACGTGGTAATGAATACAAAAGTGTGCACTACTGTTTATGTTCAACAAAAATAGGAATTATAATCCGGATTTTTTTCCTTTTCTGCTTTTTAGAAAATTGACAACAATAAAAGCGGAAAGAAGAAAATGAATGTTTGAGAGAATGACAACTATTGAACCCAAAATTACCAAGATATATTTACAGGAAGAACTATTGAACTCTCGATTTACAAGATAAAAAAAATATAAAAATGCCATTAAAGTCTCATAGATTAACATTTTGATTACTAAATTATTATACCGAGTGTCCCATGTTAGAAATTAGGGTAATAGTCTAGTTAACGATGCTTGAATGAATTACTCGCGTTTACACTCGTTAATTGCATTCTTCTCGTGAGTCTCTTTTGTGTTTGTTTCTGTGCCACTTCCTTAGTTTGTTCATGATTATACTTCCAAGTGTCTACATTTATAAGACATTTATAAAGCCTAGATTTACAAACCATTTACAATCTTAAATTTACAAGACGTCTCAAGAGTCATTATTTACAACCGTAATCGAGATTTACATGACCACTTAAACTCAGCATTTACAAACTTGGGGAGATTAATTTTACAGCACCACACTTGGGAGTCTAATTTACAAGAGGTTGGCCGAGCAGGTTGGCGGAAGACCTCTGCTGCATCTGAAAGGAGTTTGTTATGTAAATTAGATTACAGTATGGTCTCAGAGCTACACAGGCTGGAGGAATATATCTTAGGTATAGTGGAGGAAGAGAGCAGCAGCAGATTTTAAAGCTTTAATGAGTGGGAGACTTCTGGCAACTGTTTTAGAGAGAGAGGGAAAATTACGACTACACTAATTACTCGTTCTTGATTACCATAACAATACATACACACACACACACACACACACACTCACACACACACACACACACACACACACACACACACACACACACTTTCCTTCCCTACTTTAGCTGTTATCTCGATAGAGGGATGTACAGTAGGAATTTATGCATGTACTGTACTCCATAAGGCTCTTAATTGCAGTACAAGTTGACATTAGTTTGTAAGTAACCTGGATGTGTTTCTAAGCTCAGCGAGATTCTTTACCAATTACTGTGATTTTTATCTCCTCTGAAGTTTATGTCTTGCAGTATAATATTACCCTTGACGTGTGTGTGTGTTTGTGTCACTCCGGGTTGGTGGGGCGTCCTAGTAAGGGTGTTGCTGTCAGGTTAATGAAGAGGAACAGTAAGGTGAGACCCGTATAGTCATGGCATGTAAGGTATTAGAAATGTTTTGTAATGTGTAAATAACTGAAAAAATTTAAAAAGCTGTAGATTATTGAAGGTTATCGTGAAGGGATGCTGGTGGTTGATACGTATATCTTGACGAGCCAGAGTGCACGCGGGGGAAACGCTTGATCGATGCAAGTTAATGGAAAAAAAATGCATTTTATTTTTATTTTTTATCGAAACTGTAAAAATAAAAGTGAAATATATTTATATCATGGTGAATCAAGCGATACAGGTGGTGATGCCCCCTCCCCTCCCTTCCCTTACCCTCCCCCCTCCCTTACCCTCCCCCTCCCTTACCCTCCCTCCTCCCCTCCCTTACCCTCCCCCTCCCCTCCCTTACCCTCCCCACTCCCCTCCCCCTCCTCCTTACCCTCCCCTCCCTCCCACCTTACCCTCCCACCCCCTCCTCCTTGCCTCCCCTCCTCATACCCTCCCGCCCCCTCCTTACCCTCCCTCCTCCCTCCCTTACCCTCACCCTCCCCTCCTCCCCCTCCCTCCACTTACCCTCCTCCCTCCCTTACCTCCCCTCCCTCCCTTGCCTCCCCTCCCTCATGCCCTCCCCTCCCCTCCCTTACCCTCCCTCCCTCCCTCCATACCTCCCCTCCCTTACCCTCCGCCCCCCTTCCTCCTTACCTTCCCCTCCCCTCCTTACCCTCCCCTCCTTACCCTCCTCCCTTACCCTCCCCGCCCCCTCCCTCCTTACCCTCCCCTCCTCCTTCCTCCTCCTCCCCTCCCTTACCCTCCCCTCCTTACCTCCCGCCCCCTTCCCTCCATACCCTCCCTCCCTCCCTTACCCTCCCCTCCCTCCCTTACCCTCCCTCTCCTCCCTCCCTAACCTCCCCCTCCCTTACCCCTCCCTCCTTACCCTCCTCGCCCCTTCCTCCTTACCCCCCTCTCCCATCCACCCACCCTCGCCCCTCCCTTACCCTCCCCTCCCCTCCCTTACCCTTAAAAAATATTTGTAAAAATATTTGTAGTCTTAGGAAAAAAAAAATGTGCGTGTATCCCGTAAAAGCTTTTGAAAACATAAAGTTGATAGTTCAGCTTTTATTTATTTTTTTTCCACCTGTTGTTAATCGTCAGTTTCATCCAATAAGTGTTGTACTATAAAGTGTTGTAAGTTTGGTTGTTTTTACAGTTTCCTGGTTGTATATATTTTATTGACTTTTAATGATATATTGAATAGTTGTTAAAGAAAATGGAATATGCTGGGGAAACAAATATGGTATAATTTTTCTTATTTGGGATATTTATTAATTATTTCCTATCATTTTCCTCGTCAGGTATTAAGTCTCTCTCTCTCTCTCTCTCTCTCTCTCTCAGTCTCTCTCTCTCTCTCTCATGGAAAATTCTCTCACAGGGTCAATTAGTCAGTGAATCAATTAACGAGGCAATTAGATAACCCCAAAACGACCCTAGAGCTTTCTTAAACAGATAACACAAAAAATAAACCGTTTAATAAGCAATAATAAACAAAACAAGTGATGGTATGGGTATGATATAATACGTAGTAAAAGAAGGAATAGGCAAAGAGAAATTACTATGAGTGTTCTTAGAAAAATGTGTTTGTGTCCAAGATTATTGATGGGGGTACAGTCAACATCGCGAATACAGGGAATCAATGTGGATATTTCAGTGGGGTTATTTTGTATTATGTATTCTGTTAATAGTGATCTCTAGTGTTGTTCTGTTAGTGGCGTCATCTGTTGTTCTGTTAGTGGCGTCATCTGTTGTTCTGTTAGTGGCGTCATCTGTTGTTCTGTTAGTGACATCATCTGTTGTTCTGTTACTGGCGTCATCTGTTGTTCTGTTAGTGGCGTTATCTGTTGTTCTGTTAGTGGCGTCATCTGTTGTTCTGTTAGTGGCGTCATCTGTTGTTCTGTTAGTGGCGTCATCTGTGGTTCTGTTAGTGGCGTCATCTGTTGTTCTGTTACTGGCGTCATCTGTTGTTCTGTTACTGGCGTCATCTGTTGTTCTGTTACTGGCGTCATCTGTTGTTCTGTTAGTGACATCATCTGTTGTTCTGTTACTGGCGTCATCTGTTGTTCTGTTACTGGCGTCATATGTTGTTCTGTTACTGGCGTCATCTGTTGTTCTGTTAGTGGCGTCATCTGTTGTTCTGTTAGTGGCGTTATCTGTTGTTCTGTTAGTGGCGTCATCTATTGTTCTGTTACTGGCGTCATCTATTGTTCTGTTAGTGGCGTCATCTGTTGTTCTGTTAGTGGTGTCATCTGTTGTTCTGTTACTGGTGTCATCTGTTGTTCTGTTACTGGCGTCATCTATTGTTCTGTTAGTGGTGTCATCTATTGTTCTGTTAGTGGCGTCATCTATTGTTCTGTTACTGGCGTCATCTGTTGTTCTGTTACTGGTGTCATCTGTTGTTCTGTTAGTGGCGTCATCTATTGTTCTGTTACTGGCGTCATCTATTGTTCTGTTAGTGGTGTCATCTATTGTTCTGTTAGTGGCGTCATCTATTGTTCTGTTACTGGCGTCATCTGTTGTTCTGTTACTGGTGTCATCTGTTGTTCTGTTAGTGGCGTCATCTGTTGTTCTGTTAGTGGCGTCATCTATTGTTCTGTTAGTGGCGTCATCTGTTGTTCTGTTACTGGCGTCATCTATTGTTCTGTTAGTGGTGTCATCTATTGTTCTGTTAGTGGCGTCATCTATTGTTCTGTTACTGGCGTCATCTATTGTTCTGTTACTGGCGTCATCTGTTGTTCTGTTATGGCGTCATCTAATAGTTCTTGTTAGTGGCGTCATCTGTTGTTCGGCAATGGCGTCATCTGTGGTTCTGTTACTGGCGTCATATGTTGTTCTGTTACGGGCGTCATATGTTGTTCTGTTACGGGCGTCATCTGTTGTTCTGTTACTGGCGTCATATGTTGTTCTGTTACTGGTGTCATCTGTTGTTCTGTTAGTGGCGTCATCTATTGTTCTGTTACTGGCGTCATCTGTTGTTCTGTTACTGGCGTCATCTGTTGTTCTGTTACTGGCGTCATCTGTTGTTCTGTTACTGGCGTCATCTATTGTTCTGTTACTGGTGTCATCTATTGTTCTGTTACTGGTGTCATCTGTTGTTCTGTTACTGGTGTCATCTATTGTTCTGTTACTGGTGTCATCTATTGTTCTGTTACTGGCGTCATCTATTGTTCTGTTACTGGTGTCATCTATTGTTCTGTTAGTGGCGTCATCTATTGTTCTGTTAGTGGTGTCATCTATTGTTCTGTTACTGGTGTCATCTATTGTTCTGTTACTGGTGTCATCTGTTGTTCTGTTACTGGTGTCATCTATTGTTCTGTTACTGGTGTCATCTACTGTTCTGTTACTGGCGTCATCTATTGTTCTGTTACTGGTGTCATCTGTTGTTCTGTTACTGGTGTCATCTATTGTTCTGTTACTGGGGTCATCTATTGTTCTGTTACTGGCGTCATCTATTGTTCTGTTAGTGGTGTCATCTGTTGTTCTGTTACTGGTGTCATCTATTGTTCTGTTACTGGTGTCATCTATTGTTCTGTTACTGGCGTCATCTGTTGTTCTGTTACTGGGGTCATCTATTGTTCTGTTACTGGTGTCATCTATTGTTCTGTTAGTGGCAAGGCGTTGTTCTGTTAGTGGCGTCTATTGTTCTGTTACTGGCGTCATATGTTGCTCCTGTTAGTGGCGTCATCTGTTGTTCTGTTACTGGCGCTATATGTTGTTCTGTTACTGGTGTCATCTATTGTCTTGTTATTACTGACGTCATATGTTGTTCTGTTAGTGGCGTCATTCATTGTTCTTACTGGCGTCATGTTGTTCTGTTAGTGGCGTCATATGTTGTTCTGTTACTGGCGTCATCTGTTGTTCTGTTAGTGGCGTCATCTGTTGTTCTGTTACTGGCGTCATATGTTGTTCTGTTACTGGCGTCATCTGTTGTTCTGTTACTGGCGTCATCTGTTGTTCTGTTACTGGCGTCATCTGTTGTTCTGTTACTGGCGTCATCTGTTGTTCTGTTACTGGCGTCATCTGTTGTTCTGTTAGTGGTGTCATCTATTGTTCTGTTACTGGCGTCATCTATTGTTCTGTTAGTGGTGTCATCTGTTGTTCTGTTACTGGCGTCATCTATTGTTCTGTTAGTGGTGTCATCTGTTGTTCTGTTACTGGCGTCATCTATTGTTCTGTTAGTGGTGTCATCTGTTGTTCTGTTACTGGCGTCATCTGTTGTTCTCTTTGTGGCGTCATCTGTTGTTCTGTTACTGGCGTCATCTGTTGTTCTGTTAGTGGCGTCATCTGTTGTTCTATTAGTGACGTCATCTGTTGTTCTGTTACTGGCGTCATCTATTGTTCTGTTACTGGCGTCATCTGTTGTTCTGTTAGTGACATCATCTGTTGTTCTGTTACTGGCGTCATCTGTTGTTCTGTTAGTGACGTCATCTGTTGTTCTGTTAGTATGGCGTCATCTGTTGTTTTGTTACTGGCGTCATCTGTTGTTCTGTTAGTGGCGTCATCTGTTGTTCTGTTAGTGGCGTCATCTGTTGTTCTGTTAGTGGCGTCATCTGTTGTTCTGTTAGTGGCGTCATCTGTTGTTCTGTTAGTGGCGTCATCTATTGTTCTGTTACTGGCGTCATCTGTTGTTCTGTTACTGGCGTCATCTATTGTTCTGTTAGTGGCTTCATCTGTTGTTCTGTTACTGGCGTCATCTGTTGTTCTGTTAGTGGCTTCATCTGTTGTTCTGTTACTGGCGTCATCTATTGTTCTGTTAGTGGCGTCATCTGTTGTTCTGTTACTGGCGTCATCTGTTGTTCTGTTAGTCGCGTCATCTGTTGTTCTGTTACTGAAAATGTCTGTTGTTCTATTGCTGGCGTCATCTGTTGTTCTGTTAGTGGTGTCATCTGTTGTTCTGTTAGTGACATCATCTATTGTTCTCTTTGTGGCGTCATCTGTTGTTCTGTTAGTGGCGTCATCTATTGTTCTGTTAGTGACATCATCTATTGTTCTCTTTGTGGCGTCATCTGTTGTTCTGTTACTGGGGTCATCTGTTGTTCTGTTAGTGGCGCCATCTGTTCTTCTGTTAGTGACATCATCTATTGTTCTCTTTGTGGTGTCATCTGTTCTTCTGTTAGTGACATCATCTATTGTTCTCTTTGTGGCGTCATCTGTTGTTCTGTTTGTGGCGTCATCTATTGTTCTGTTAGTGACATCATCTATTGTTATGTTAATGGCGTCATCTGTTGTTCTGTTAGTGGCGTCATCTGTTGTTCTGTTAGTGGTGTCATCTGTTGTTCTTTTAGTTGCGTCATCTGTTGTTCTTTTAGTGGCGACATCTGTTCTGTTAGTGACGTCAACTGTTATGTTAATAACCTCACCTGTTGTTCCGTTAATGACCTCTCCTGTTGTTCCGTTAATGACCTCTCCTGTTGTTCTGTTAGTGACCTCTCCTGTTAACCTATCACAATGACCGACTTCTGTTGACTCAGCAAACAGTTGCGGACAAACTTATAAACTTGTGTGGCTGTTTGCTAGACCAAACATGGAGGTAGTGTAAACAAAGTGAGGACCCCCCGCAGAGGAGAGGGAGGTGGTGGTGGTGGAGTAGTTGGTGATGATGATGGTGGGGGAGGAGGAGGGAGAGGAAAAAGTTATGGCGATGGAGGAGGATGAAGAGGAGTTGAAAGAGGAAAGAGGATGAAGAGGAGTTGAAAGAGGAAAAAAGAGAAAGAGGAGGAAGAATAAGAATAGTAATAGGAAGAGGAGGAAGAATAAGAGTAGTAATAGGAAGAGGAGGAAGAATAAGAGTAGTTGTAGGAAGAGGAGGAAGAATAAGAGTAGTAGTAGGAAGAGGAGGAAGAATAAGAGTAGTAATAGGAAGAGGAGGAAGAATAAGAGTAGTAATAGGAAGAGGAGGAAGAATAAGAGTAGAAATAGGAAGAGGAGGAAGAATAAGAGTAGTAATAGGAAGAGGAGGAAGAATAAGAGTAGTAATAGGAAGAGGAGGAAGAATAGGTAGTAATAGAGGAGGAAGAATAAGAGTAGTAATAGGAAGAGGAGGAAGAATAAGAGTAGTAATAGGAAGAGGAGGAAGAATAAGAGTAGAAATAGGAAGAGGAGGAAGAATAAGAGTAGTAATAGGAAGAGGAGGAAGAATAAGAGTAGAAATAGGAAGAGGAGGAAGAATAAGAGTAGTAATAGGAAGAGGAGGAAGAATAAGAGTAGTAATAGGAAGAGGAGGAAGAATAAGAGTAGTAATAGGAAGAGGAGGAAGAATAAGAGTAGTAATAGGAAGAGGAGGAAGAATAAGAGTAGTAATAGGAAGAGGAGGAAGAATAAGAGTAGTAATAGGAAGAGGAGGAAGAATAAGAGTAGTAATAGGAAGAGGAGGAAGAATAAGAGTAGTAATAGGAAGAGGAGGAAGAATAAGAGTAGAAATAGGAAGAGGAGGAAGAATAAGAGTAGTAATAGGAAGAGGAGGAAGAATAAGAGTAGTAATAGGAAGAGGAGGAAGAATAAGAGTAGTAATAGGAAGAGGAGGAAGAATAAGAGTAGTAATAGGAAGAGGAGGAAGAATAAGAGTAGTAATAGGAAGAGGAGGAAGAATAAGAGTAGTAATAGGAAGAGGAGGAAGAATAAGAGTAGAAATAGGAAGAGGAGGAAGAATAAGAGTAGTAATAGGAAGAGGAGGAAGAATACGAGTAATAATAGGAAGAGGAGGAAGAATAAGAGTAGTAATAGGAAGAGGAGGAAGAATAAGAGTAGAAATAGGAAGAGGAGGAAGAATAAGAGTAGTAATAGGAAGAGGAGGAAGAATAAGAGTAGTAATAGGAAGAGGAGGAAGAATATGAGTAGTAATAGGAAGAGGAGGAAGAATATGAGTAGTAATAGGAAGAGGAGGAAGAATAAGAGTAGTAATAGGAAGAGGAGGAAGAATAAGAGTAGTAATAGGAAGAGGAGGAAGAATAAGAGTAGTAATAGGAAGAGGAGGAAGAATAAGAGTAGAAATAGGAAGAGGAGGAAGAATAAGAGTAGTAATAGGAAGAGGAGGAAGAATAAGAGTAGTAATAGGAAGAGGAGGAAGAATAAGAGTAGTAATAGGAAGAGGAGGAAGAATAAGAGTAGTAATAGGAAGAGGAGGAAGAATAAGAGTAGTAATAGGAAGAGGAGGAAGAATAAGAAAGTAGTAATAGAA